AAAATCTTTATACAACTTTCCGAGTTATTCTTCCTACATCCAAACAAACAAACAAACAACGCTGACCAAAAACACAACCTCGCATGACGAACAACAACGCGCTCCCATAAACAAAATAGTAACTAAAACAATAATAATAAAAACTCGCAGCCTTTCTCACAAGAACAGGAACAGACAAGACACTCGAAATGAACATGCCTCCTATGAACAAGTGAAGGACTGGGACATCGAGTGGAGGACGAGAGCGGGCTAATCCCTCGAGAGAAATATAAACTCGAACGGAAGCGTCAGACCAACACGTGGTGCACAGCAATTATGTTCTGGGCAAAAACCTACACGTTCTTGGGTGAGAAAGAAAGAATTGGCGGGTGATGGGTGGTTTAATTTTAGTATTGTTTTTTTTCTGTTGTTTGTATTTTGGTACTATTTCAATGGTTATTGTTATCTATTCTTATTATTGGTGCTATTATTATTGATGTTGTTTATCATTGGGTGTGCGTATAAGAGGAGAGAGAGAGAGAGAGAGAGAGAGAGAGAGAGAGAGAGAGAGAGAGAGAGAGAGAGAGAGAGAGAGAGAGAGAGAGAGACAGAGAGAGAGAGGAGAGACAGACAGACAGACAGACAGACAGACAGACAGACAGACCTTTAAATAATTGAATTTCATTCCAGTTTCTCGTCGCGAAAACATATTTTCATATGAAAGAAATACAATATTTTTTTTATTTTATATAGAATTAATCACGAAATCACGTGACTACTGTTTCAATTTTGTCTCATTCGATTATTCGAGTGCAAAAATATTTGAAAATTGTGCTACACGATGTATGCGCTATGCATACACATACACATATCATCTATTTTCTCTGTCTATATCAATATATATGTATAAATTTATGTATACATATATGTATATAAGATATTATATATATATATATATATATATATATATATATGATATATTATATATATATATATATATCATATATATATTGTATATATATACATATTATTGATATATTCTAGTATCAATTCATTATTATCTTATCTTTTTTCTCTCATGGAAATGCTGGATTGATGAGTGTGTGTAGTCGAGACCACCTTGCGCCTCTTCCAGGTCCCCTCCTCCTCTTCCCTCCTCCCTTCACTTCCCGCGCTTTACCCTTCCCTTCCTTCCCTTATCCTTCTCCCTCCGCCCCTTCCCCACTGTGAATATGGCCGTAAAACTCAAGGTATTTAAGGCGCGTACAGGCAGACACAGCAGGCCATTGAGAGAGAAAGAAAGACGCGGAGAATGGAGAGAGAGAGAGAAAGAAAGAGAGAGAGAAAGAGAAGGAGAAGGTCGAGAGAGAGAGGGAGAAAGAGAGGAGAAAGAAAGAGCCGTAAAACTCAAGGTACTTTAAGACGTCAGCAGTGACATGCAGGCCACTTGAGAGAGAAAGAGAAGGAGAAGGAGAGATAAGAGAGGAGAAAGAGAGAGAGAAAGAGAAGAGAGAGAGAGAGAGAGGGGGAGAAAGAGAGAGAAAGAAAGAGCCGTATAAACTCAGGTACTTAAGAGTCATAGACATGCAGCAGGCCACTTGAAGAGAAGAAGAGAGAGAGAGAGAAGAGAGGAAGAAAGAGAGAAAGATAAGAGAAGGACAGAAAAGAGAAAGAAGAGAGAGCCGTAAAACGCCAAGGTATTTTGGCGTCCACTGACATGCGGCCACTTGAGAGAAGAAAGAAAGGGAGAAAGGAGAGAGAGAGAGGGAGAAAGAGAGAGAGAAAAGAGAGGAGAAGGAAAGAGGGAGAGATGGGAGAAGAGAGAGAAGAGGAAGAAGGAGAGAAAGAGAAGAAGAACGAAGGAGAGAGGAGAGAGAGAGAGACAGAGAGGAGAAGGAGAGAGAGAGAGGAGAAGAGAGGAGAGAGAAAGAGAAGGAGAAGGAGAGAGAGAGAGGGAGAAAGAGAGAGAAGACAGAAAGAGAAGGAGAAGAGCAGAGAGAAGAAAAGATAAAGAACCGTGAAACACATCCAAGGTATTTAGACGTACACAGACATGCAGGCCACTTCAAGAGAAAGAGAGGGAGATATGGAGAGAAGAAGAGAGAGAGAAAGAACGTAAACACCGCTAAAACAACTGATTTAGAATATCAAAAATACGCACTCTGAAACTATTCACCGATTTCGGAATTATTTCTCTTGAATTCCAGTTCTTTCCAGTACTGAAGGAACCCGATGGAGACTGCAAGATAAGATTCACCAAGAAAATTTTCTTTAATGAAACGACTGATACCTTTAAACAAGAGAAACCGGCGTAAGTTTTCTTTTTCATTTATTTATCACTATCATTGTTATTGTCATTTTATTTTTTTTTTCAAAGTTTGTTTATCACTATCGTTGTTATTGTCATTCCATTATTATTATCATGTTCCTTGTTTTGATAGCTATTCTCAATATTTGTTCATTTTCATTACTATTTTTCTATTCTTTACAATATCCACATTTATTCTTCGTCTTATTTATTCCTTTTCACTAACTCCACCTTGATTCTTCTTCTCTGTCTTGTTATTCTTGTTTCTATGATTCATGGTGTTGACAGAATTATCACAATAAATAAAATCGCATATTATAATCGTAGCTTCAGTATCTGCAAATGTTTCGTAAAGGTACATCTACAGGGTATGTGGGTATTTATGTGTCAAAGTGGGTACAGTGATTCAGTGGTGGATATGAATTTTGTTATTGTGTCCTGTGTATTTTTCTATTTTTTTATTTTCATTTTTTATTATTATTATTTTTTCTTTCTTTCTGCCATGGGCGGTTTGAAAAAGAGAAACTTAATATAGTCATTTTTATCTTTTTCATTTTCATCACTTTTTTATCAATATTTCATTATTATCAAATATCATTTTTTTTTTTTATTTCATTGTTACTGTATTTTAAGTTTTTTTCATTATCCCTGAACACAATATCAGTAAAATTTTACGCATCATCTTTCTCATTACCATATAAGCAGCACAGCAATAACATCATAATTTTGCCATTAATACCATCATTTAATCATCACAATATCATCCTCACACCAAGACCTCCTCGGAGTTGCTACTGATCTCCTAGCCTTTCCCCATACGAACACACCACACGCAGGGATCGAAGCCGCCAGCTCAAGATCAGTCTCGCCGTCGCGTCCCCGTGCGTGGCGCTGCTTCTCTCGCGTTTCGTTTGGAAGGCGACGGAATCCTCGAAGCCCAGGCGGAGATGGCGCCCGTTGAGTCGGTTGGGTGTTTTTTCGTTTTTTTTTTGGGTGTTGTGTGTGGATATTGTTATTTTTTTGTCTCTCTCTTTCTATCTCTGACTTTCTCTCTCTCTCTCTGTCTGTCTGTCTGACTCCTCTCCTCTCTCTGTCTGACTCTCTCTCTCTCTCTCTCTCTGTCTGTCTGTCTCTGACTCTCCTCTCTCTCTCTCTCTTCTCTCTCTCTCTCTCCTCTCTCTCTCTCTCTCTCACACACACACACACACACACACACACCACACACACACACACACACACACACACACACACACACATTCTCTCTTTTTTTTTTTCTTTTTCTCCCTCTTTCTATTCCTTTTTTTTTTTTTTTCTTGTCCTTTCTTCTTCTTCTTCGTCTCTTTTTCTTTCTTTCTTCTTCTTCTTCGTTTCTTCCCCTTCTTTGGTTTATATATATATATATATATATATATATATTATATATATATATATATGTATATATATATCCTCAGGTCTGGACGTCCTTAAACTTTTTTTAAAATTCATCCTCAGCTCTTTAAACTGAGAAAAAAAAACTACTTTCATCGCTGGGCTTCTATAAACTTAGAAATATAAACTATCCTCAGCTCTAGAAGTCCTCAAACTTTTTTAAAAAGATCATCCTCAACTCTGGACGCCCTTAGCCTTAAACAATCCCAAACAACCTTCAGCTCTGGACGTCTTGCTGGTTCACACTAACGAGTCGCTAGGCCTACGAGACCGAATCCGAGACCTCACGGGAACGCTTCAGAAGAACGGGAAAAAGGTCAGTGTAATGCCATCTTTTCCGGTGGCAATTAGGGTGTCGCAATGAAGCTCCGCCCATTTCTGTGACGTAATGGGAATGATCGCGATTGACGGTTTGCTATATTACTGTACTGGTTATTTTTCCGACAGGTACACAGTATTTTGGAATATGATATTCAGGATGGCTTTTAATATCTTATGGTGGGTAGTGCGGTGTTATAGATATCCATATAAGTACGAATATGCATGGAATATCCAAAGTAGGAGAAATGCATATGGCAACTCGATAAATGTCTACCGCCTGCTCCATTCCTGTCACATGCAAGGTGTCGCGTTTCCCGTAACCGCTGGAAAAGATGCCTATATAATTATTTGTAAAATTTACTCACTATTGTAATGGTCATCATGAGACGCAAAACCAAAGTTTCTCTCTATTAATTACAATAACGAAGAGATATTTACCATTAACTCAACTTCATTAATGGGTTCAGTAGGTTAAATCGAGTAGGTTAAATTGAAAGGGTTACCTTGGTTTTAAATGCTGTGTACAAAATTTAAAGAAAATTTGGGTGGAGGTTCTAATCATGGAAACAAAAGGCAAATTTAAACAACCTGAAGGCTAATAAAATCTCCAAAAAAATTATACGGCAGACTGTAAAAAAATAAGAAAATGGGTGAAACTAAAGTAAAGAAAAAAAAAATGAATAGAAGTTACAAGTAAAAAAAAAAAAAAAAGAAAAAACACCGGCCTACTTCAGCCATAATATGTATATATAATATACATTTTTTTACTAAATGATCTTGAAATCAGTGCCATCTTTTCCAGCGGCAGGAACCGAGTAGGCGGTAAACATTTATCGAGTTGCCAGATGCATTCTCCTACTTTGGATATGTCATGCATATTCCATACTTATATTGGATTATCTATAACACCGCACAACCCACCAAAAGATATCAAAAGTCATCTAGGATATATATTTCAAAATAC